AAAAAAAAAAAAATATTTCTCTCTTTTTTTTTAAATATGGATCCAAAGAAAAGTATACCTAACCCGAAACGAAAGCGAAATAACGAAGAATTATTAATTAATAAAAAAGTTAAGAAGTATGGTTTTCTTTTTCTTTTCCTTCCTAATTTTTCTAAATTTTTTAAATTAATATATTTTAATATTTAATGAAAAACTGGTAATAGTTCTAACGTTGAAAATGTTCCCAGTACGAGTATTAATTCAAAAAACAATGTGACAAGTGGTATTATTAATAAAAAGGCTACAACAAAAACAAGAAAAATTCCTTTTAATAATATCGTCAATGATACAAAGAGATTTACAGCGCTTCCTGTTCCTAAGAAAATTATACCTAGGCCGAGTGGGAAAGCAAATGTGAAGGCAAGTGGGAAGTCAGTTAACTATGGAAGAACTGTTACAAAGAGTTGTCCTATAAAGCCTTTAAAACTTGTTACCAAATCTATGACCGAGAAGAATAGGTCGCGTGCAGGGATTTTAGAAAGTAAACAGCGATTGCAACTTGTTACCAAATCTATGACCGAGAGGAGTAGGTCGCGTGCAGGAATTTTAGAGAGTAAAATGCAATTAGCCAAGTCTCGACGCGAAATGATTGAAATTAAAAAACGTAATGAAGCCATAAGGTCTAGAATCTCGAAAATACGTGATGATTTGGTTCGAGTCGAAAACGAACACGAGACATTGTTTAAGAGTATTGAACAAATGAAGGTAATCTAATTTTTTTTTTCTTACAAAAAAAAAAATAATAATGTTCCATAAAATCTGACCCATTCGTACGTTTATTAATGTAGAAACAAACAGCCACGTATAATGAAGAGATGAAGAAGCTCAATGAGCATTGTGATGTAGCAAATGAAGAGAGCAACAAACTTAGTGAAATCATCTTAGAATCGAGAAAAGGTTTAGAACTTAGGAATAATAAAATCATAGAAAAAAGATTATTGTACGAGTATCAGCTTAAACAAATACAAGAAATTTATGCTGGATTGAAAGCGGAAGAAAATACTCGAAAGGATTTGCATAACCAAAATCTAGATCTCATGGGAAACATTCGAGTAATGTGCCGTGTTCGTCCATATACTGATAAAGAGAAAGAAATTGAACAGGTTAGCTTGGAATGCTTTGATGATAAGCATACTATTCAAGTTTCCACCAAGAGATTAAGACTTTGGCAGATGCAAATCGAAAAGTCAACATACGAATTTGATCACGTTTTCAATACAAGTGCAGATCAAAAAGAAGTTTACCTAGAACTTAGTCCACTTGTGCAATCAGCTATTGATGGATACAACGTTTGTATATTTGCATATGGGCAAACAGGGTCTGGAAAAACTTATACAATGGAAGGTAACGTGAACAGCCCAGAAAAGAAAGGTGTCATTCCTCGATCAATTGATGAAATTTTTGATAAAATTGAGGAAACAAATAAACTTGGATGGAACTTTGAGGTATACGTTCAATATATTGAAATTTATAACGAAACAATTCAAGACTTACTTATAGATGAGGATAAAGATCGCAAAAAATCATGCAAGGATCGCAAAAAATCATTTAAGGAGGATCGCAAAAAATCATTTAAGGAGAGCAAGGATTTATGCAAGATAGTATACAATGAAGACACTCGCATGACAATCATTGAGAATGCCGAAAGACGTAAATAATTTTTATTCAATTTATGTTAATTCTATTTATTATCATGGCTAACCTTTTTTAATTTCCTAGTCAAAATCAGTAAAAAGAAAGATATGGAAATATTAATAGGCAAAGCCTCGAATCGTAGATCTAAGTCATCAACTAATTCTAATTCTGTTTCTTCAAGAAGTCATGGTGTATTTATCCTTCACTTAGAAGGAGAAAATCCACTTGAAAAAATGAGCAGTCGAGGTTCTCTTAGCCTAGTTGATCTAGCAGGATCTGAAAATATTGATAAATCTGGCTCTGTAGGCGATCAAATGACTGAGGCACAGAGTATAAACAAATCTCTTTTCTATCTTAGATATGTGATTCAACAAATTAAGGACAAATCGAACCACGTTAATTATCGTGACTCGGTGTTAACAAGTTTGTTAAAATATTCACTTGGTAAAGTATTATTGTATTCTATTGATCTCATTGATTTTTCAAGTATTAATCCTTTTTATATACATATATATATATTTATTCATTTATTAAGGCGGTACCGCAAAAGTGTGTATGCTAGTTAACGTATCACCTTCTACTGATTCGACCAACGAGACCAAAAAAAGTTTATCTTTTGGACAAGATGCAAGAAAGGCGCACGTAGGAACGGCAATGAGAAATGGGTGTGCCTAATTATTTCATTTTCATGGTTTGTTGCTATATTAAAAATAACATTTAGTAATTTATAACTAAATATGTATAATAATATCTATATATATTTTTTTCCTCGTTTCCGGGAAAACTAATTAAAGGAAAATGCAAACAATTTTTATTTGATAAATTTTGATCTGCGTATTTAATAAAGTTAAATTTCAAAAAGCAATCTTTCGTAAATTTGACGATCGATTTACGTGAAACGATTTCAATGTACTGTACAACGCAAATCAATTATATGTATTAATTAATTAATTGTGAGCCCAGTTATTTTTGGTAACGTTAAGAAATACTACTTTCAAAAGGTAATTTCTATAATGGCGAAATACGAACCACTTAGTACTTCTGAAAGTTCTTCTGAACCTCAAATCAAACGTGGTTCACAATTAAAAGCTTTAATTATCATTTTATTTTTTGTAGTATTTATATCTGTTTGGAATATAATCCCTTCATATTTTTATTTGGAAGATACTGCAAATAATATTGATCAAACGGATCAAATTCCTATAGAAAAAACTACTTTAGCAATACCTACTGCCGTACAAACAACTTCAATATCATCTACACTATCACCAACATCAACTCCAGTGACAACACCTGTTAAAGAACCAAAGCCTCCAATGAGCGAAAGTGGAAAAGTTATTGCTGCTTATTTTGCGTCATGGAGTATTTATGCTCGAGCATATAATGTTATTGATATAGATTCAGATAAAGTAACTCATATATTATATGCCTTTGCAAATATCAAACCGGATGGGGAAGTATTTTTAGGGGATTCTTGGGCTGATACTGATAAACATTTTGAAGGTGACTCTTGGAATGATGAAAAAAAAAATCTTTATGGAAACTTTAAACAATTAGGTTTATTAAAAAAGAAGAAGAAACATTTCAAAGTTAGTTTATCAATTGGAGGATGGTCATGGTCAACTAATTTCCCATCAGTTGCTTCTAAATCTGATTCAAGAAAGAAATTTGTTACTTCCTCTATTGAATTACTTAAAGATTTGGGTTTAGATGGTTTAGATAGTAAGTTTCATTTTAATAAATTATTATTATTATTTATATATTTAATTATTATCGTTTTAACTCTTTTATTTTATTTTATTTTAATAGTTGATTGGGAATATCCTCAAAATGAGGGAGATGCTAAGAATTATGTTAAATTGTTAAAGGAACTTAGAGAGGCGTTGGATGAATATTCTGAATCACAAAATCATTCACATAAATTACTTTTGACCGCTGCATTGCCATGTGGAGAAGAACAATATAAGAAAATGAAATTGAAAGATATGAATAAATATCTTGATCTTTTTTATCTTATGGCCTATGATTTTAGTGGATCTTGGTCAAGTAAGGCAAGTCATCAATCAAATTTATATGGAAGTGATTTATCAACTCATAAAGCTGTTGATTATTATATCAGCAAAGGCGTAGATGAAGATAAGATAGTTATTGGTATGCCAATGTATGGTCGAGCATTTCAAAATACTAATGGTTTTGGTTCTTCATATAATGGAGTTGGTGAAGGAACTTGGGAACAAGGTGTTTATGATTATAAGAAATTACCTCGTCAAAATGCTACTGAACATTTTGATGAAAAAGCGATTGCTAGTTATAGTTATTCAGCATCTGATAGAGAATTTGTTACCTATGATAATCCACAAGTTATTATTCACAAAACTGATTATGTTAAACATAACAATTTACGTGGTGTAATGTTTTGGGAATTAAGTGGAGATTTCCCTACTTCTCATGAACGTTCATTGTTATCTGCTGCGTATCATGGATTAGGTGGAAAAGATGCAATTGATCAAACTCCAAATCATCGTTCATTTCCTGATAGTATCTATGAAAATGTTAGAAACGGATTTGAATAAATTCAAAGCATTCTTCATTTATACAATTATTTCAATTATTTAAAGTATTATTCATTATTATTAAGTAAATTACATTTATTAAAAAAATTTCATAAAAAATTTTTGAAGTCACATTGTATGCACGTGAAAACATTGAATAAAAAGGGTAAAATTAAAATCTTTATTCCCACGTACAAAAATCAAAAAAAAAATTTACTACGGTATATGTATCAACTCATTTTTTTTTCACTCACTTAACTCAACTTTATCAGATATTCAAATATATATGCTGTTTTTATATAGTTAGTAACACTAATATGGCAAAGTAAGAAAGTAAGTGAAAATATTTATGTTACAAAATATTCCAAATTTTGAAATTTTGAAAGTTCAATTAAGTTCAATAATACCATTTTAAGAAACAATTAAGGTCTTACTAATAATCATTAACTCATGCGCGCCTTCCGGAATTTGAAAAAAGATTTCATTGCAAATTGGCATTTTTGATTAAAAAATGGTTGGTTCATTTGGTTGTAATATTGTAATTTCCTTTTTTAAATTTTGAAGGGCCGCGTATAAAACCATAATTGAAATAATTGAAGTATAAAGTTATATTCATGTGACCATTAAAAAAAACGTGTTTTTCCTGTATATAATATATATATATATCTATATCTTTATCTATATATATATATACAAAAACATGCCCCAGAAAAGATAAGGAAAAAAAAAAAATTTCTTTTTTTTTTTTCTTTTTTTGTTTTTTTCCTTTCAAAAATTTTTCTTTGGGTAGGTTAAACGAATACAATAAACTGACCTATCCTTTTAAATTTTTGAAATTTTTTTAAAATATATAATTTTATTTTTTTTTTATTTAAAAGAAAAAAAAAAAATTTTTTTTTATATATATATTATATATTATATATTATTATTATTATTTTACTTTTTTCTTTTTTAAAACAATTACAATGAATAATCAAAATGATGATGATAAGAAAGGTAAAGATAAACAAGAAAAATCCAAAACAAAGGTTAATTCTAATCCACTCGAAAATATTAATGATGGTGATGATAAAAACGTGAGATTTACTGCGCCATATAACCAAACTTCAAAAATTGGTTCCAATTATAAGAATGATAATGTTAATCAATCTTATAAAACTCCTGAAATTCAAAATAATAATGATAAAAGAAAAAGTATCAATGAAGGATCCACTAGAGTTAATTTATACGAGCATACTGAAAATAATGATCAATTGTGGAAACAACAAGTTGAAAATACAACAAACAGTTTTATGGAAAATTCAACAGGGCAACGCGCTTCCACATCACAAAATAATGAAGAAAGTGCATCGACCACTCAGGATCAATCTCAACGCAGTTTATTTACTGGAGGATTTTCCTCTTTTTATAATACAGCAAAAAATATAAAAAATATAGCCAAGAATTTAAGACGAACTGAAGAAGAAGAACCAGATGATAAACACATCAAGATGCATTTTCATGTGCATTTGCCTCATCAAATTTCTGGAATAGGAGAACCTATTTTGATTGGTAGTATACCGGAGTTTGGTGAATGGACTGAACCTAAAGTTAAACTTCGTCAACTTAAACGGAATTTTCAAAGTTATACGTATTGGTATTCAGACCCTATTAAAATTCCGATCGAAAGGTTTCATAATGCTGTTATTCAATATAAGTATGCTATAAAAAAAGGAAATAGAAAAAATAAAGATATATCACCCTTCATTTATGAAGGAAGTGATGAAAAAGACAACCGTGTACTAGAAATGTATAAAAATCAATTCGATATTTGGATGATGAGCAATAAGTATCAACGAATATCAAATGAACGAATCTATAATGATTACATGTTCTTGGAAATCATTTATAATTCTGTAAATTCGAATAACTTCAAAGATGCAATATTAGAATATGACAACATTCTAAAAAAGAATCGCGAATTAACGAGATCTGTAACGAGATTTGAATTTATTGAACGACATAAACAAGAAGAATCAGTTCATAAACGGCTTTTTTTATGCTTCCTCTTAGGACATTGTAGTTATAATTATAATTTTATTGGAAGATTCGAATTACCAAGAAATTTTCACCCTGGTTTTTTATTTGAAGTTATTGGAGAAATCCGATCTGACACATTTCCTTCAGAAGATTTGCGTATTGTATCAAAAGGAATTGAGCTTTTAATTCGTCGCGATATTGATCGTAGGTCCTTTGAATGGCTTATTATTTTTCAACTGGCTCACCGTATTGACCCTAAATATAGTTTTATTGACTCTATATCTTTCTATTACGATGTTAATTATACCGAGAAATTTTTCGAAAAGTTGGATAGTATTATCCCATTTATTGATGCAATAGGTGACGAAGATGTCTATGTGAAAGTTGCCAAGGTATATTTTCTTACACGCCTCTTTTTTCTTTTCTTTTTTTTATTATGTTTAAATTAACTAATTTTTTTTTAAAAAATATGATTAATTTAGTGGTTGATTAATCATTGCAACATGAAAACGTTATCAAAAGTTTGGGAATCAATTATTCATTCAGAAATAGTTGACAATCAACTTAAACCATATTTAGTAGCAAGGGTTGAAAGATTTATATCTAAATACGACTCTGTCGAACTAAACAAAAATTTTAACGAACTTCCTGAAAATATTAAAGATATGGTCACTCAGCCATATAGAAAAAAGACCATTCAATTATTAATTAATGGACAACTTTCTTTATGGGGAAAACCTCGTGCTGAAGCTATTTTTATTCTTGTAAATTCTTCACGTTTACGTTGGACAAAAGCTGATTATCTTACTGTATTAGAAACCATGTCAAATTTTGTAGAATACATACTATTAAACAAGTTTCCATTATTATTAAAAAATTGGATCGATAAGTTCAAAGATACTAAGGATGATAAAATTTCTCAAATATGCATTCGATGGTATAAAAGACTTATGGATCGAATGTCATCTATGTCATCTAATTCAGCTTCTAATGAAGAAACATACGTAACTGCGGTCTTTAGGCACTTATCAGATGTCTCGATAATTAACGAAGAATCTATCATGAGTGAATTGATGGATATAACGTACGATCGTATTAGAAAATCTTCAGAAGGTTTAATTTTTAGTGCTGCAATTAAAGTTGCAAATATGGATCCAAGAGCAGTACTTGTATTTAAAAGGATTATTAAAGAAAAAATTAATTTAAGTCTACAAAGCCATGATGAATTTTTATTAAAGAAAATGCGGGTTATTTGCGGTTGTACTAATAACGATTTAAATATTCCAAATAAGTAAGGTTTATTTATTATTATTATTACTTTTTTTTTTTAAAAGCGCTTTAAATAATTTTAATATTTTTTATTTAGACTTTGTGAAGAAATTTTAAGTCACATAATGACACGTTTGAAAGATAGATCTTCACATATTGATTTTGAAGAATTTTCCACTCGGCTTCACTTATCTTTATTTGAGTCTGCTAATTTTTGGAATGTCATTTTGAGAGCAACTGGAAATGTTGAAAATTTTCATTCCCACCCACATGTACGAGAAGCTAAAACTGCCATTATCAAGTTGGCCACCATGATAAATGATGGTTCTATTGATCTTCGCCTTCTTCAAGATCTAATTGAAAAAGATGATAATTTCCTTCATTATTATCTAAATTCTGCGGGATCAAGTAAAGAAATAATTACTAAAGAGAAATTAGCAAAGGTTCGTAAACAATGTCGTGACTATGAACAAAGATTGAGTAAACTTCATGATTTTTATTTAACATTTTGTCAAAAAGCCAATAATGTGGAAAAATATTTCGATAAGTTAAAAGAACTAAGCAATAATTTGGATAAGACTTCATTAGAAGAGGTCGTGTCATCAGATTCATCAGATTATTGGGGTATTCATAAAGATATTATACCTATAGCAGAGGATACAAATAAATTTAACAAATCTCAAACGTTTCATAATATTTTCAATAAACAAATCAGTAACCTGAAAGATATAAAAGTTGAATTTATAGCAAAGACGTTAATTGGAAAAGTGTTTATGGAATATAAAACTATATGTAAACAGTATGAAGGATGGAGAAATCTTGAATATTCTAAAGCAACATCATTCTGGTATAAGGTCCGTAATTTCGACGATGAACTTAAATTAATGCTACGATATGGCCGCAATATTGATACAGCAGATTCAAAATTCATTAAAACAATAAGATACCTTTCCGAAATTAATGAATGGAAGGAACGTTTAAAATTTTTACAAATGGTTCTAATTATTTTCAAAGTAGTACGCATTAAAAATGACTGGCTTGAAACTGGATTTGCAGATCTCAATGATAATTTAATCTTGGATAGATTAAGTGAGTCATTTGGAACTTTTGATGATAGATTTTCCGGATTTAACAGTAACAGTTGGGCACTTATCAAGGAATTATCTTTATCTGATGAATTTATTAAATTCCTAAGAACTATAGCAGAGCATGACATGAAAAATTTAATTAATGGAGTAGACGAGCACTCAGATACAAGGCTGATTCAAGAAGATACAGTTTCTTCACTTATTCAAGTTAAACAATGCTTACTTCCGTTGATGAATAAAACAAATCTAACTTTGGATAGATTTTTGAAGGATTTAAATGAGATTGTTGATAAAAATCCTTCATTAGCGAGTAAATTAACATTATGTAATAGCAATAGTATGGCATTGCAAAATATGTATAAAACCATATCAAATAGAGGTGAAGTTACAAAGGAAAAGATTCAAAATGCTGTAAATATCGGTACATATTATTTCATTAAAGAGGAAAAAGAAGATGAATGTATTTTGACATTGAAATATTACTCTAAATCCTCTAAGTCGGAGAGTAATTACGATATAAATGCGTTACAGGATTTACGAGGCAGAGCACTTTTAATATCAAAGCCTGGTGGTTCCTATGATTCAAATGGGCAAATTGATAATACCAAAAGCATAATGGAAGACTTTGTATCACAATTTGATATTGCCCAAAATATAGTTAATATAATGAACAAATTGACTCAATTAGGACATTTTGGATATCGAAAATATAATGAATCAGTCAAAGGCACAAATAGATTAAGGCTGATATCAGAAAAACTAAAAAAGGAATTGGAACTTTGGTAAATATTTTTTCATTTACGTTAGCTTTTTAATTAATAGATGTTATTATTATTTTAATAATTTAATATTAATTATATCTTTTCATAGGGAAAATATTGTAGACAGAGCGCAAGAAAATTGTTACTATTTAACTTTTTATCCAGCAAAACACATATTAGCATTTTATGATTTCTACACGAAAGAAAAACAACCTCATATATCAGAGATTTGCCAAACGCTCGTATCATTTGTTAATCGAAAAGCAAGATTACAAAAAAGTCAAGGATTTAGTTATAAAAGGGATGATTATTATCAAATTTTAAAAGAAATTGGTGATAAATTAAAATATATATTTGAAAAGCTTCCAAAAATTCCGCGCTCAATAAAAGGTTCTGGAGAACGTGTGGTTTCGGACGTAGTGGAATGTGGAGGATTATTTGTCGCGGCTTGTGGCGATAAGTCTAGAGTTCCTAATATTATAATGTCATTTTATGCTAATCATGGATCTTATCCTGAACCTTGGCAATTATTGATATGTACATCATCAACCACAGAAGAAGAACTCTCAATTTTTATCAAACGGTGTTTTTTCGCGTCAAAAAATGGATATAAAAATTACTTATTCTGCATTGCAAATTTAGAATTACTAGATTTCGAATTACAATATGATTNTCAAACGGTGTTTTTTCGCGTCAAAAAATGGATATAAAAATTACTTATTCTGCATTGCAAATTTAGAATTACTAGATTTCGAATTACAATATGATCTGTCTCTTATACACATCTAGATGTGTATAAGAGACAGCTTTTAATATCAAAGCCTGGTGGTTCCTATGATTCAAATGGGCAAATTGATAATACCAAAAGCATAATGGAAGACTTTGTATCACAATTTGATATTGCCCAAAATATAGTTAATATAATGAACAAATTGACTCAATTAGGACATTTTGGATATCGAAAATATAATGAATCAGTCAAAGGCACAAATAGATTAAGGCTGATATCAGAAAAACTAAAAAAGGAATTGGAACTTTGGTAAATATTTTTTCATTTACGTTAGCTTTTTAATTAATAGATGTTATTATTATTTTAATAATTTAATATTAATTATATCTTTTCATAGGGAAAATATTGTAGACAGAGCGCAAGAAAATTGTTACTATTTAACTTTTTATCCAGCAAAACACATATTAGCATTTTATGATTTCTACACGAAAGAAAAACAACCTCATATATCAGAGATTTGCCAAACGCTCGTATCATTTGTTAATCGAAAAGCAAGATTACAAAAAAGTCAAGGATTTAGTTATAAAAGGGATGATTATTATCAAATTTTAAAAGAAATTGGTGATAAATTAAAATATATATTTGAAAAGCTTCCAAAAATTCCGCGCTCAATAAAAGGTTCTGGAGAACGTGTGGTTTCGGACGTAGTGGAATGTGGAGGATTATTTGTCGCGGCTTGTGGCGATAAGTCTAGAGTTCCTAATATTATAATGTCATTTTATGCTAATCATGGATCTTATCCTGAACCTTGGCAATTATTGATATGTACATCATCAACCACAGAAGAAGAACTCTCAATTTTTATCAAACGGTGTTTTTTCGCGTCAAAAAATGGATATAAAAATTACTTATTCTGCATTGCAAATTTAGAATTACTAGATTTCGAATTACAATATGAT